CCCCCGCCCAATGTAAACACTCACGGGCCACAATGCGACACTACCCTGCACTTACCGAGCCACTTATCTCCGGCCCGGGCGAGCCCCCTTTGCCCTGGAGACCCATCCATATCTCTTGCAGACAGTGGGATGTAACTTCCACGCGGGAAGAGGCTCAAAGGCCCCCCCCCCCCCCGCCCCATCCTGTCGGTAGTGAACAGAAGTTGCCTAAGAAAACAGGCGGTACACTTTCCTCTACTGCTCTAGCCAAACTGATGAAAAGAAAAGAAAAGACAAAGGAAAGAGCTAAACAAAACCCTAAGGAGACTGTAGCTATTTAAATATCGAGAGAGAAGAAGCGTGGGAAACTGCAATGCTTCAACCATCAGGAATCGAAAAGTCCTTCTGACTTTAATGCCTTTTTAAAGGTTCCTTTACTATGAAAAGTTGTCCAGTGAAGTCAGTCTTTCTCAAAGACTTATCTTAAAAACGAATCGTATATTGGGGGAGGGAACGGGGGAAAATATATCGCGAATATCTTTTAAAGAGTCTGCTAAAGTTTCAACTAAGTGCCATTTCTCACTAGCAAGCGTGTCCTCCACAGCGTTTTGAAACGATTTAAATCAGTTTCAGAGAGCAGCCCTTCACAAACTTGAGAACACTGCCTTAGCTAGAACTTTCCCTGATTTTAAAAAAAATTGCGCTGAACCACGAAGCGGTTTTGTCAACCCTTCAGATTCTAGGCGCTGCGCAGAAAGATTTCGGCACGCTTAATCGGAATCCGGACACGGTGTCCGATTCTTTCGACGCCTCGCGCCTGGAAAATTGGCTTTCTGCAATTTGCTGCCCAGGCGAAATAAATTCCTTCCGTGGTGGGCGGCCTTGGGGGAAGAGCAGAGACAGTTATTGAGCTGAGTGTTCGCTCTCTTTTGAACAAATTGTGGTCCTCGGCTCGCCCAAAGCCTGTCTCCTTTTTGTTATAGAACTCTATCGGCTATTTTCCAGCTGGCTCAGGAAGCCCCAGCAATTTGCTTAAATACCTTTTATTAAAACATTGGAACTGACGCGTGGAAGAATATTTATTTTAACGGTTCTTATGATGATCCACGGCAGAGCAATTAGATGAAAATCTGGAGGAAACAGGCACATTCTGGGCCCCGGTTAGCAAGGGAAAAGAGAGAGGGGATTTCCCCTTCTACCAACCTACCAGCCCTCGCCAAAAACTTTGAGACAAAGTAGCTGGAGAAAAGGGGCTTAAACTAATATGACGGTAGACGATCATTTGTCCCCTGAAATCCCTCCAGAATCCCTAAACGGTTCTAGGGAGATGCTCGAGGGCCACTGCTGGGTCAGTGGGCACAATCCCACTGCCAACATGGAGCATTTTAGCCACACCTTTGGAAAAAATGCTGAGGCTGCCTCGCATGTCTCTTCAAATCAGTATTTTTAATTTCTATTAAATCCATTGGAAATGGGATTTATGCCAGGTAAAGAAGCCTTGCAGCTCAGCCGACATCCTCTTACATCTTCTCTTGCAACTATCCTCTGGATAGGAAGGAGCTGCTGAAAGACAAGCTTCCCTCTTATTAAAAGGACGAGCCTAGGGGCTCTTGCAGGCTTAATTTTGCATCTAAATTAGGCTGTCCTCAGGACACCGTAAAAACCCATTACACAGAAGAATTGAGATTACATGGCTTTAGATCCTAGTCTTTGTTTAACTGGATTATGGATCGTTTTACCCAATCCCTCTCTCACACACATTCTTCAGTTCCTCCCTAAATTCTATAGACACCTATTGGGCCTACAAGCTTGCAGGGTTGAAGTATTAATACGCATCAACTCATCACTAGAGGAGCCCAGTGAAACTGCAGCCCTACTCAACCTGCTACCATTGACTATGGGAAGCCCACAAAGGAAATACCATCCTCATGTTCATTGACAACTGGATGAGAGGCTTGTTGCCTCAAATCCTGGAATTAATATATGGCCATCACAACCATTAGCAATAGCCTGACTCTCCATGAGTCTGTCTTACCTTCTGGTAAAGTTGCCCAAATACCTGACCTTTTGTGCTCACATATTCCTTATACTGCACAGGTCACTATTTATCTTCATTTCTTCATTGCTGTGAGAAGCAGAGAAAAACTTCTCCCTAGTCATTTTCATCACAACCTACACCGCTCTGTCATAAATACTGTAAATCCCTTCCCACTAGCCCTTTTCCTTTGTAACCATTCCACACTGGAGGCTGTAAGTGCTTTGCCCTCTTACTCAATGTGTTCCTTTTCTGCACGATTTCTACCTCTATAATATCTTTCTTGAGACAGGGTGGTCAGATCTATACAGAATGTATGCACAGTAGCTCCACTGTAAGTACAGGGTCCAGGTTTTCACTGAACTGTCTCATAAACAATCCAATAACTATTTCCTGGTCACATTTTCTTGGCAGGGTTTTTCAGAACGGATTTGCCATTGCCTGCTTCCTAGGGCTGAGAGACAGTGACTGGCCCAAGGTCACCCAGCTGGCTTTGTGCCTAAGGTGGGACTAGAACTCAGCCTGGTGCCTTAACCACTACACCAAACTGGCTCCTAATCAATGTATGCCTGAAATTAAGATTTCACAGAGAAGATTTTCATCTCAGATCTCAGGTCACATCAGCATATATTTAAAATTAAGAATATGTTGTTGTTCCAATCAGCAACACTTTCTATGTGCTTACATTGAACTGCATATTCCATTTTAGTGCCCACTCCTCTAATTGGGAAACATCCAGTTGTTAAAAAT